ACAACTAATTACTTAGATGATGTAATAACTAGAGTTTATAAATCGTATTTAAGAAAATATCGAACAAATAATAAGGTTGCCAAAGTTTTATCACTTTTTTGTTCAAGCTTGTCGTAAAAGTAAACAGATCTGGAAAATCTCACAGTATAAAAAAAACACGTTACAGAATTTAAGTCTAATCGAATACTCATACGTCACTTTCAAAATACCTCTATAAGACGTCATTTTTATTAAGTTTAAAGCATTAAAATAAAAGTGAGCTCAAATCTATTTGAATTAGAGCGATTAAAGAAAATTAAAAAAAAAACCCATTAAACTCGTAGCCAACGATTTTTTCAGATCTTTCTTTTCTCAAAGTGTTTCTCTTTCATTTTCCAAATTTCTTTCACCAGCCCTAGCAAAGGTTTTACCCTTTTTCACTGACTGATATTTCAAATCTATGGTTAGTTTCCTATAAACAACGACGATGATTTTGATGAGGTCGATAGTTTTTATGAATTATTGTTATGAAAAAGATATTTGTTCAGTAAAATAGTAAAGATCTGCCCCGGGGTATTTCAAGTATTTTACCCCGAGGCAAGGGGTGAAAAATCGCTTAAATACCCCGGGGTAGACACTATAGTAATAACTTGACAAGTAAAATAGTTACCCATTTTCTATTTTTAATTAAAAAAAAAAATATTTCGGTGCCTAAAACTTACTTTTCAATTACTATGGTTAAAATGAAATAAGTGTTACCGCACTAATCGAGTATTATGTACGCACTTATCGAATATTGGTTATAAAAAAATCTAAGCGCACTAAACGAAAACGCATTAATCGAGGGGCCCCTGTATATATATATATCTTAAAAGCCTACCAACAACTCAAAACCCCCAATAAATCACATCAACGTTCTCCATGCTGTAATATTTAAATACGTCCAACATAAAAATAATGGTGTAACCCAGTGAAGAAAGCAAACCATGCCACGAGGAATGGATCCTGGGAATTAACCAAATTTTCATGAGGTCACATACTTGGATTATTGAAGAACAAGAAGACAGTCAATGAGATATCATCAAGTCACTTGTAGTACCACTGTACACAGTGAACTGGGTAACAATACAGTTCCAGTCTCACCTGAAGACAATAGTTTCTGAATAGGCCGAGGTCCCAGAACGACTTCATATTTTGAGAAAGAATGTGGACAATCAGCCATGCCAAATGGCAACTGTTATTACAGGACAAGTGCAAGTGTGCATCAATATAATGAGAAGTTATCTTCATGACACAGGCTACAATGGCAGAGTAGCTAGTTGGAAGCCACTCCTCATTGTAGAGGATATATATTTTTCTTCTAACGAGTCCTGATTTGCAAAATTCTTAAACAGTGGATGCACTTGAATATGGTAGACATCCTCCCACGGACTTTCACTGAACCACCTGCATGGTACAACAGTATTTATGTTCTGATGTGGGCTGCCACTTGTGCAACTGGATAATCACAACTGGTGGTATGTGAAGAGACAGACACTGGTGCTTGATACAGCATAATTCTGAAAGAAGACCTTCTACCTATATATAACAATGACCAGCTTACCAGATACTGCAGTTTTCATGCAAGATGGAGTTCCTATTTGATCAGCAAATCAGATTTCAAATCTAGTAAGTACAATATGTAACCATGTTCTTGCCTAAAATACTGCAAAGTGCAGACCCACTTAATATTAACAGTAGTTTTATACTCTTTGTTTCATGTGTGTTTAATTAAAAAAAGAGCATTATTCGTGGATAGGATATCTATTTACATATTGGTAGGCTGTGAGTACACACACAGTCTGTAGCTAAATAAACCTACACTGATTAGTTTAATGTATAATTTTCTGTTTTCTCCTAACTATGTTTGGTCTGATGTACTTTAAGATGACTATTATTTAAAAATTGTTTGCCACACACTACACAACCAAATGGTTTATTCCTTAAATTGTTTACCACACACTACACAACCATATGGTTTCTCCCAAATTTGTACTCTCTCATGTTCTTTATGATGTCTATTACTTTTGAATTCTTCACCACACACTATACAACTGTACAGCTTCTCACCAATGTGGATTATCTTTTGTATTTTTAGCTACTAATATGTACAAATTTCTTCATATACACTACAAAACTGTATGGTTTCTCTCCAATATGTATTCTCTGATGTACTTTATCTAAAATCCTTGCCACACATAACACATCTTTATGAGTGCTCCACAGTATGTAGCCTCTGATGTCTTTTGAGATGACTATTACTTCTGAACTCTCCACCACACACTACACAACTGTATGGTTTCTCCCCAGTGTGTGTCCTCATATGTTCGTTAAGCTGCCTGTTACTTCTGAATTCTTTAGTGCACACTACACAACTGTATGGTTTTTCCCCAGTATGAACCTTCTTGTGTTCAGCAAGGTTACTATTACTCCTGAATTCTTTAAAACACACTAAACAACTGTATGGTTTTTCCCCAGTGTGTGTTCTCAAATGTAAATCTAGGTAAACATTTCTTCCAAATTTTTTTCCACACACTACACAACTGTATGGTTTTTCCCCAGTGTGTGTTCTCACATGTTCTTTCAGGTGAGAATTACTTCCAAAATCCTTGCCACACATAACACATCTATATGATTGCTCACCAGTGTGAATCCTTTGATGTACTTTAACATTACCATTTCTTACAAAGTGTTTGCCACACACTACACAACTGTACGGTTTTTCTCCTGTGTGAATCCTTTGATGAGTTTTAAGATGACTGTTACTTCTGAATTGTCTACCACACACTACACAACTGTATGGTTTCTCTCCTGTGTGTATCCTCTGATGTGCTTTAAGATAACTATTACTTGCAAATTGTTTGCCACAATTTACACAATTGTATGGTTTCTCCCCAGTATGTATTCGCTGATGTGTTTTGAGATTACCATTACTTAAAAACTGTTTACCACAAACTACACAACTGTATGGTTTCTCCCCAGTGTGTGTCCTCATATGTTCTTTAAGGTGATAATTTCTTCCGAATTCCTTGCTACACATAATACAGCTGTATGGTTTATTTCCACTATGGGAAGATTTTTGTCTTTTTTGGTTATTTCCTCTTGATGATATTTCGTGAAACCCATCACCACTGCTTGATTTCAGGGACTTGCAGTTTTGTGTCTCTGTAAAGATAGATTTTGTTAAAATGTGATATCTGCAAAACTTCTTTACATGTTTGTTGTTCAAGTGATTTACAATCAACAGATGGATTTAAACAAATATTGTAATTAATAAAACTTACATATTATCATTTAGTAATTTTTATAATGCTCTATTTGGATAACCAAAAGAAAAAAAGAAATTTAAAAATGTACCAATATATACATAGTTGTGATGGTTTCTATTACTGGGTGGGTTCATAATGGTTACTACTTGTTGTAAAGAATAACACAAAGTCCAGACAACTTCGTGATAATGGAACTTTTGTGTCATTTATCTTTGTATATAAGTTCTATAAACTGAATACAGGTTAGCTTAAGTAACATTTGGTGTAGGCCTACCTTCACCAATATTGCTGATTTTCTCTTACAGACTTTCGTAGTACTTCATTCAAACATAAGCTCAATTTTCAGAAAACTCAAGGGTGGAAATGACTCAAAAAAAAAACCAGTTAACAATTTTGAGAGCCCCGTATGTTGTGTCCAGGTAAGATGTAAACTACAAAAAAGTCAGGGTTCACTTGACTAAGAAAAAATAATGTTTTATTCTACAAGGTGCATTCTGGTCCATTTTTTGTACTTTTTAATTTCAATTTTTAACCAAGAAATTGCAGCTATTAAGCTAAGCATACCACATTGTTTTTCATAAAACTTTTTTAAAACTTGCCTATTTACTTTAATCTGTATCTTACTTCAGTCTACATGGAGCATTAAAATATATAAACTTAGTTGATAAGTTTTGATCAACAGTTATCTTATAGTTTTATTACTTCTTTATAGTCTTCAAAATTAGAACATCAAGTCTGTGGCAAAAAATGAAATATTAGCAGTAAGAAAACAGGAATTAATTAGGTCACAACCATCAAAAATGCAGTAGTCAGTTGTGAATAGATTCACTTAATATACAAGCATGGTACAAGGCAAGGAACAAAGAATTTACAGTAGGTTTTCGTACTAATTAAATATTTTTGTTGAAATTATAAAATTAGAAGCAATTTTTCATGTTAACTCTCAAGTACTAACTAAATATTTTTGTTGAAATTATAATATTAGATGCAGTTTTCCAAGTTAACTCTCATGTATCAGTCTTGTCACATTCTGTTTATACAATATTCCACTTTCATAGAAAGGAAACCAAAATGTAATTCTTATTATTTGATGCTAACAAAATATATAGTGAATTTACTGTATTTTCCTTGAGCAAACATCTATCACAACATTTCCAGAAGTCTGAATTTTCCTGCATTGTATGTCATACTACTGTTAGAGCTTTTGATGTCATGAACTAATAATATGTATCAGTAATATTTCTAAGTTTAGAATTTGAGAATATTCATTAAGCTATTATACCTAAAGAAATGAAGTAAAGAGTTTAAATAAATAAATTCTTTTGTGAGGTATTCTTATTTTCATGGGCACCCACAGGAAGGAGCAAGAGGGGGCATTCCCCTCTTTACATTTAAAAAAATTGCAAGCATTATGATGTAAACTTAACATCATAGTAAAACTAAATTTTCCAGTAATTTTTATTAAAACTGTAAATTTGTTTTTACATTTAAGCACACATAACACATTATTTTAGCCTGTTGACTTATACTGTAAGAGCTGATCCCCTACGTACATATTTTGCCCCACTCCAAAAAAGAAAATTTCTGTGAACACCAATGCTTATTTTCTATTAATGTGGATTATCAAGGTGAGAGTCAAGTTTCCAACGAAAGGCCTACACTTTCAAAAGTATAGTACAAACTTTTCTCTTAAATAAACCTGACATTTGTCTTGGTTTCTTACAGCAATCCACTGAGTTCAACAGTAAATGACATCTCAAATTATACAAGGTAAAGTAATTGTAATATTAAATATTTTAGTTATTTATCAGCTGTTTTATTTTTGTATAAAATCTTTCTTTGATGTTATTCACAGGAAAAATGAAGAATTTATTGGAAAAATGTTATATTTTTCCATTGTACTTACCATGTGCTATCTCTAATCTCAAGGACTGCTTTTAAGTGATTTTCAGCTTAATGTTTATGTTAAAATGTAAATATAATTACATATTTCTCACTACCTGTGCATGCTGTGAAGTAAACATTTTGGAAATGTTTCATACACTGTACTTTGGTAGTGTCTAACTGTTTTAGTATTTATAAGGATCTATATTGTTCTTCTGTTTCAGCTGTATCAATGAAGAATGACAATCTCCTTCATCTGCAGACACACTTCTTTTCTGGCATTCCTCTTACACCAATTCCATTAGAATTTATTATTTAATTCTTTCTGCATGTCTTTGATACATTATCCTGTCCTTTTTCAACACTGGTGTAGGAAGAAGTTGCAAAGTGGGGGTGCTTGGCTAGACATGCAGATTTTACAATGAGAGATTGAAAGTATAAGGAGCTGCCAAAGGCAGCTCAATCCAGGGGTTTGGGGTGCATGCCCCCCAGAAAATTTAGTATAATAAAATAATTGAAAGTTGCTATATAAGTCAAATATGTAAAAGTGGGGGTGCTATGCATCTGTTCAATTATTTCTGCCTTTCTTGTATAATTAAAAATTCATTACTATACAGTCATTTCAATCATCTAAGCTTTTCTTGTATAATTAAAAATTCATTACTATGTAGTCATTTTTATCATCTAACCCTTTCTTGTATAATTAAAAGTTCATTACTATGCAGTCATTTTTATCATCTAAGCCTTTCTTGTATAATTTAAGTTATAACTATGTAGTAATTTTTATCATCTAAGCCTTTCCTGTATAATTAAAAATTCATTACTATGTAGTCATTTTTATCATCTAAGCACTTTAAAATTGAATGATGTTGGATTTATAGCTAAGACTTTTGTGTAGTCTTACCCAATTCACTAGTTTCTTGCCAATAAACAAATTCTCTACTTTGCCACAAAACTATCATTTGCTGTTGACAAACAACATCAGTCTGGATTCATCTCTAAAGGGCACTCTCTCTTCCAGCTTTTCTCATCCCAACGTTTAAAGCCTGATGATCATTTTTACTTGTAGGTTTAGTTCTGTCCAAGGCAGGGTTTTATAGCTCACCACATTAACCATTCTGGAGGTAATGTTTGCAGCTAGGTCACTAGCAAGATCTATATTGGACTTAATAGTTTAGGCTTTCTTCCTCAACTGCTTCTATTATCAACAGTATTAATTTAATATATTCTCTTCAGAATTATTGTATATATATATCTCCAATTGAAACATAATATTTAGCCTTCTCTTCAAAAGTTTGATTTCTATGTGCCTGTCACAAGTGCATCATCACACTACTGCTGGGAACGGTATGACAGCAAGTACATTTAAAGGCATTGAGCTGATGTGATACTCCATGGTTGGATAACAGCCAATCAAACTATAAATGTGCAAGTATACTCTGATGTAGTTTATTTTCATAAAATAGATGAAGATCAATCCCATAATATTTACACATTATACCATTTTAATTCAATGTTCTGTAATTATTGTTGTCATGTCATTTTTTCAAAGGAATACTTTTGTATATTAAAAAAAGTGCTTGGATGACATACAGAAGATTATGAAACAAATGTTCGTTCAACAGATTACACAGTTATTTGAATAGGTTCCTTTTAGCTCAGAAAACATTAAAATGGTTGGTTCAGAAACTTCAACTAACAAATCACATCCTGGATGTTCATGGAATGTTGACCGACAGAAACACCTCTGTACTTTTGCCTCTATTTACTAAAGTGAAAATAATACAATATTTTAACACATTTCATCTGGAATTTATTTGTAATTGGTTATTGCAAAATGAAACCTATACTTCTAATTGAACTTCTTACCAATCAGCAACAAGGTTTACCAAGAATTTGTAATCCTGACTTTTTTCTGTATAAGATCAAATTTGTGACCCTTCCAAATGCCTTATTCTTCAATTATCCAGAAATTTTGCTCTTTATTCACTTGTCTGACACACCCTATGTTTCTACTATGAAAGAGTAGATATTGTTTGGCAACTTCAACTGAGGGTTACCTTGAAGTACCCAAGGCTACAGAAATGAGTCTAACTATCAGAAATATGGAATCAATGGAAGAGAACCACCTGTTGGTGGAATTCTCCAATGCCTTGGCTCTATCTAAAGCTACTAAGGACTTAATACTAAAGCCCTGTACCCCATCAGTACCTAAAAACACCAGAAATCCATTCACTGTTGGGACCAATCCAATAACCACCACCAGCCACCCTTGCAATAATATTACAGAACCTATTTTGGACACTACACAGCTTGTGCATTGGACACAATTGACCAGCACCACATCGTAACTGAAGGAAAGGGCAAGGAAGCAAAACAGAACAAGAGTTCTGATCACATGTCCCATTAAAGGGTGCTGTAGAACTCAAATCCATTTGAATGACTTATGTATGCTTGTCAGGAAAGATCATAATCTTTGAAAGCCTAAGAAAACTTACCTAAAGTTTAAGTCTGGAAAGTCAACAAAACTGCTGAGGAGTTTTCTAGTTTCACCTGCACGACCACCATTAACATATTGACATCCACCAGTTTTACCAACTTGCTGCAGCCATCAATGTCTGTAGCCAGACAAAAGCTTTGAATGAAGTTCCCGAGAATAGCAGTAACATTGGTTCTGGTCCACTACTCTCATGGACAAACATTAGCAGTTGAACATTACCAGGACTAGACAGTATTATGGACTGAGGCTGGGGCCAGTTCTTTGAACATGTTGTCAGCCTTTTAATATTAAGTTGTCACCCAAATGAGTTACTACAACATAGACATTTGTGTATGTATATATAGCAAAAGTCTACCAATACAGAAACACAAGGACAACACAGACACTTGTGTGTGTGTGTGTGTATATACATCCAAATTCTACCAAAACAGAAACACAAAGACAACATGGACATTTGTGTGTGTGTATATATAGCAAAAGTCTACCAATACAGAAACACAAGGACAACACAG